GCTCACCTTATATTATTTCCCCTTCTATTGTATTTCATTCGGATTTCAGCATTCTTAATCCTTTTCTACACATTCTCCGAGGAGTCCAATAGACCTCAAGAAAATATTTTTGCTAAATCAAACAAGTTGTAAGAAATATGTCTACTATTGTTTTAATACTTGGAGCCATTGATTGAGTATTCAAAATTGACTGTTATTCAAAACTATTTTTATTGATTTAGTTTCCATAAACATTGGAGGGCACCTCACTAATTTCAAAACCTCTGGTGTTTCTGAGGCTGCAAGTAATGCAATGCCAAACCACATACATAGCAAGTTATTTTATCTGTACATGTTGCTATTCAACCTTTCTAGGAAATTATATTTTTTACATAGAATTTCAAAACTTCTAAAAGTATCCTTATTTAATAACCATTGGAGAGTAAAGATTCCATTACGACCCTATGTTTTCCAGAAATAAGAACAACTCCAAAGTGTGCATAGAGGTAAGGAATCTGACCTCCCTTTGTCCCTATAAAATAGTGGCAGAAATCCCATTTCTTGCTTCCTTCTGTATTTTAGGCAGAACAGGATTTTTAAATGCTAGGCTTCTTTTCTGGAATAGCTGATTCTGAGCAGAGGGGAAGAATTCTAAAGTGGATCATGAATCACATCATTTAGCTCAGTGGTCTCCAACCTTGGCAACTTTAAGACCTGTGGACTTCAACTCCTCTGGGAGTTGAAATCCACAAGTCTTAAAGTTGCCAAGGTTGGAGACCACTGATTTAGCTTACTGGCTAAGATATCTTTACCTGGTTAAATGGTTACCATCCCTTCCACACAAGTGAATCCTTAATTTGAACAGGCCAAGTGGGGTAATGTGTGCCCATTGTTCCCATGTCTCCGTTTAGCATTATGTCCTCCTGGTGACGTTAAAGCATTTGCATAAACATTAGCTGCCCACTGTGTCTATGGTGAAGTATGCTGCCTGTCCAGGTAGTCCTTGACTTATCACCACATTTGAGCCCAAAATTTCAGTTGTTAAGTGAGGCATTTCTTTCTTTCTTGCCACAGTTGTTTAGTGAATCACTGCAGTTGTTAAGTTAGTAACATGGTTGTGAAATGAATCTGGCTTCCCCATTGACTGTGCATGTCAGAAGCTCACAAAAGCTGATCACATGGCCCTGGGATACTGCAACCATCATAAATGTGAAACAGTTGCCAAGCATCTGAATTCTGATCAATGACCATATGGGTGCCACAACAGTGATGAGTGTAAAAAAAACCAGTCGTAAGTCACTTTTTTCAATGACGTTGTAAGTTTGAACGGTCACTAGAGAAACTGTTGTAAGTCAAGGACTACCTGTACTTGCTGAGGAGCTACTGTATGTCTTTGGGGGCGGGGGATACCTTCTGTCTCACATAGAATCATAGAATTGTGGGGCTAGCAGTGATCTTGGAGGTCTTCTAGTCCAACCCCCTCCCAAAGCAGAAGTCCTTCTATTCCAGGCAAATGGCTGTCCAATCATGTCTTGAAAACCTTCAGTGACGGAGCCCTCACAGCTGTAGGAGGAAAGCTGTTCCATTCATTAATTCTTCTCATTTTCAGGAAATTTCTTCTCAGTTCTAAACTGGATTTCTCTTTCCACTACTCGTAATTGTTTCTAGTCCTGCCCTCTGCTGGTTTAGAGAATACTGTAAGTCTATCCCCTGTGACAGCCCCTCAAGTACCAGAAGACAGCTGTCAAGTCACCCCTGCCCCCAATTCTTCTCTTCATTAAGCTAGCTATACCTACTTCCCTTAATGCTTATCACATTTTTCAGGGTTTCCCAGTCACCTTGAATTGGTTTTCCTTTTAGGATTTCTATCCCTGAAATTATTTCTAATCTTTCTCTTAGTTTGTTAAAGTCAGCTCTCTTAAAGTCTAAAGACTTTTTTCAGTCACTTTTGTCTGCACTATGGTGAATTGTTGTATGACATGGTCACTTTCCCAAAAAGTTCCTACAATTTCCATTCCTTCAACCAACCTAACCTTATTAGTTAGGATTAAATCCCGTATAACTAATCTTCTAGTTCCCTCCTCCACCATTTGGGTGACAAAGTTGTCAAATAGGCATATCAGAAACCTGTTAGGTAACCCACTCCCTGCAGAATTTGTTTCCCACTACTGTACACCTTGGCTAACTGACCAGCAAAAAGTTTGTCTACAGGTAGTCCTTGATTTACAACAGTTTGTTTAGTGACCGTTCAAAGTTACAATGGCACTGAAAAATGTAACTTATGACCATTTTTCACACTTATGATGGTTGCAGTATCCACAGTGATCACGTAATCAAAACTCAGATGCCTGGCAACTGGTTCATATTGATGAACCAGTTGTGTTGCAGGATCATGTGATCACTTTTTGTGACCTTCAAACAAGCAAAGTCAATGGGAAAGCCAGATTCACATAATAACCAGATTACTAACTTAACTGCAATGATTCACTTACTGTAACAACTGTAGCAAGAAAAGTTGTAAAATGGGGCAAAGTTCACTTAACAAATGTCTCACTTAACAACATAAATTTTGGGCTCAATTGTGGTCATGAACCGAAGACTACCTGTATTTCGTCTGCTTGGTTGAGTGGCCTATAGTTTCTTTTTCTTCTAATATTCACCCAAATACCTTTAAGAAGGCTTTTATTCCTAGTATTGTGTACTTCTATAGAGGTGTAGCAATTTTTCACATATGGAGGAACTTCTCCCCGTCTTTTTAAATCGGTTCTGTTTTTTTTTAAACAATTTATATCCTTTTAGCATTTATATTCCAATCACCAAATTTTAGAAATTACAACAATATTGTACCTGTCCTCATGTATTAGGTTTTCATGTTATCCCTGTTGGTTACTCAAACTCTGGGCATGCATAATGTCTTTTTAAGTCTGCTTCTTCTCTTTGTGAGCCACATCCTAACTTACTCCCATCAGAAAAGGATTAAAGTGGAAATACCATTGCGATTACAGAATAGGCATTGATTGATGGGAATGCCCCGGCTGTCTCTGTCTCTATCCAGGCGGATGCCCTCCGTGTTACCGTGAAGAGTGACTCCGAAGATGATCAGTACCCTGTCTTGTTTGTAGTTCGGCAGCAAAAGGGGGTGCTGTCCTGGCAGCTCCCACTCATTTTTCATGGGCTGTAAGTAATCACTGTCATAAGATATTTATTTATATTCTGTTTAGTTTTTCTCATTCCAACTTCTTCCCTCAAATTCCTTCTACAAATATTTCTTTTAAAGGGAGCCTTCTACTCTTTCCCTGCTAGAGAAGAAGCATTCCTTCATTAATTTTTTTGCAACATTGAATTTTACTTTATGGTGTATTTATTCTTTATTGTATAGAGAATTTACACTGAGTTAAATGTGTAAAGATAAGGATAGATATTAAGTTTAAAAAAATAATGCAGTATTGCCAGTTTAATCTCTTCAATTGTATTTAATTAAATCCCAGTAGCTTTCCAAAGTAGATAGTAATTCCCGATCAAACAACTTTTTTTCTTACAATATTGGTTTTCACATAATTTTGGGCATTGCCTTAAGCTATCATTTGAGTAAATATGCCTAAAAAGCATTAAACTATACAGCTTTTTCTCTGCTAAAAAACTGTGTGAGATATATTTTGGAAAACTGTGTTGTTTTTGGAGTTTTGTAAAATAGATATACATAACTCGAAATGGCTGGAAATATATGTTTACTATGAATTAACCTCATCTATGTTATATTTAATGTATTTGCTAAATTTATACATTTATATTAAAATGAATCCAAACTGGATTGTTGTAAAGTACATATATAATATGATAGGAACAATGGGAGTAGTGAAACAAATGGGAGCATAATATATGTTTTAGCAGAATCACAATAAGAGCTTGCTATCTGGTTCCACTCGGTAAATAACAAACTGTTCTGAATAAGCTAGTTTTCAGACTATCTTCCTGTAATAACCCAATTTGGACCTTAGTAGAACATTAATTCTTGGGGTTTCAATGGCCAACACAGAAATATGAGCTTCGTAGTACAGGATATCCAATTTTTCCAACATTATCTATTTGATTTGTCGGGGTAATTTCATTCCTGTTAAAAACATCACCTCTTGAGCAAAGAAACTCTAACCACCAGCTTGCATTTAATATCCATCTAAAACTGCTTTCATATGTCTACTGCTTCACTTTGGAAATAAAAGAAATGTGTATCAATGGCTGGCAGTTAATTCAAAATAATTTCACATAGCTATTGGAGAACAAAATGAAAGCCTTTATTGTAGATTGGTATAAAGAAATAAGAATTTGTTTTAGCTTTCTGGAATTAGCTTTCTCTGTTTGAACTGAAACCTGAAGGTCTCCAATCGAGATGTAGAATATTGTGTTTTGATTATGCCATTACCTGGTGAAATCTAGGAGAATAAACAGATTCTTACTTCTATTGGAGACCATTCTAAAAACTACAAAAAACCCTCCAGGTTATGATTATAAACTGAATAATTAACAGCTAGATATATTACAGGATTAAAATTAATCCATTTAAAATATTTTTGAAAGGTACAATAAATATGAAATCATATTTTCATACATTAATTTCATTTTTTTTCATGTTTCTAAACACCTGGACCCTGGATTCTCCAAAACTGGATTATTCCAATTCATCCTTCCAAATTCAGTGACATGACTAATTTTACTTTTTAATCCCTTGCAATGTTCAGCTGCTGGTTTCTTTCAAGCATTGAATCTTTTAAGGTACTTAAGATTGCAGGTATTTCAAAAGTTGCTAGGGCTTCTGGGCCATACTGCTTGATTAATACCTCTTTCAGTTATTGCCGAACAAATACTATAGAGAAATTAAACTCAAAACATAAACTCTCAGAATCCTTTATATAGCCATTTGAAATCAGCTGAGTTAAAGTGTTGATATAAGCATTCCAATAAAACATATTTTCCTACTATTATAAAATTAGGCTTATTCCATACCACCAATATAACTCAATTTATAACAATATAATTTCATATCATCCAAGTGATTCAAAATCAAAATGTAACTGCTTAGTAATCAAATATGTCTAGCAGCTTTCATAGCTGGAAACAAAGATTCCTATCTAGCAAAGCATGTCAGGATTTCCAGGGTGTTAAATCTTTATTCTTCAAATTGGCTGAAAAACTCCTCAAAGGTCTTGTGCAATAGTGGTTTGTTTAGTGACCCCCCTGGCTAACTAACCTTGAAAAGGGGAAGTAGAGTCAGACACTGTTAAATACCTGGATAGGAGACCACCAGGAAATTCCAGATATATGGTCTAAATTGCGAAGTCAAAAAACACCTTAGAAAAAAGCAAGAGGAGACTAATTCTATATTATTGCCAACAAAATTTAAGGGATCTGTCCATAAAGTCACCAGAAGTTGAACTTGGAGACTTCGCACATTATCTTGCATCTGTTTGCCAAATTCAAGTACAGGACATGGATTAGAGGCTGACTGATGCTGGACAGATTTCAAAGAGAAAAGGTCACCAGCAATTAGGAATTGATGCAGAAAAATCAATAGGCAGATAAGATATAAACAAGATTAGCAGCGGTAGATAAGAGAAGATAAGAGGATGAGACAAAAGGCTTATTAGGTGTATGCTATGGAAATTGCTCAGGCTAAAAAGCTAACTTGGATGTCAACAAAGTGCACTGATTATATTCAGAGTAGTACTAAAGGCCAAGAGGTACTCTTCACCCACAATGCTGGAACTGCTCAATGCCTGAAAGAATAGAGCACTTGTGACTCCACTTATTGGCTCCTAGTTCATGATATATTCCAGACACAGTAACACTTCTGCTCTGAGTGAAGGAGTTATTTTTATCTCCTCCCTTCTGTTTTAAATGGCAGTAAATATTTGGATGAAATTATCTTCATTTATATAATATTTTATGGAGTCTGAGTGCAGGCACCTATAGGACTCTCAAAGGTTTGTCTGGCCTCACCTTGCTCTCCTTTAGAAACACTTTTTTAAAACCTGGGTTTTGAAGAGTCGAAGGCCAGGTTGATTTATGATCCCAGCTGGTAGAGGATGGATAATTAGTATTTAAGTGTATGTTTTTCTCCAAAGCATTATACTCAACTGTGTGGTTTTTTTTAAAACACAGGTTTTATTCTGAATGTCAGATTTTGCTTTTTCTCGGCAGCTACCAAAGAAGTTACAACTACACAGAAGTCAGCCGTACCCTCTGCCCATCTGAGTCTGTACCTCAAAATGGATCTTCCGAGCAAATCGTATTTATAAATGTCGCTTCCATGGCTCCTTATAATGCTCACTATCAGCTGCAAGTTACCAAGATTAAGAACTTCCAACTTAGGTGAGTGGTCCGTTTCTGGATTTACCATTTCAGAACAATGGAAAACAAGTTTTGTTGTTGTTTGGATCACTACATTAAAAACAGCACTGGCTGAAAAATTAACACAACAAATCCATGTTTAAGCATCCTTTAGGTAAGAATTGTTCTACTCATATTTGATTGCCATGTTTAACTAAATTGATTTCATTATTAATCAAATTCATAGGGATGCCTATCTCATAGAAGGTGACTTTATAAATATATAACACAGCAATTCTCAATAGATTATCCCTATACAAATATGTTTGGGGTTATAAATATTAAATATCAATGTTTAAAGTGTTCTTTTTCCTTAAGATTATAAAGAATTTTTATATACTCCCATTTATATATCATTTTGTTTTTGTCCTTATGCTGGTTATTTTCAATATTTGTTGTTTTGTTTAAATAGAAAAACAAAAAAACCCTCTATATTTTAAAAATTCCCATGGACAACACATTTGTTCTGCTGATTACAAGCTGTTTGGACTGCCTGCATGGAGACAATGCAAGCTGTAGTCATATGTCCCACTGATGCTGCAGACCAAAGTAGGGGTGAAATGCAAAACTGAGGACCTCGCAATGTGACAGGAATAACACAAAGAACAAGAAGAGAAACAGCGAGAGCCA